TGTTGCGCAAACCACCAAACACCAGACGGAAAAGACATACCATGCGACCGCAGAGTCATGCAACAATGCATTCAGCATTGGTTTGGCTCGGTTGAGGAATTTGAGAAGGTGGTCCAGACCAGGGCGAAGGATGCTACTAGGCTAAAGACCCAGGTTTCATTTTTTTAGTTGATTAATTCTATACTTGTTTGATCCGCCCAGAGGTTGACCTTTTCTTCTTAAACAACGCCAACAAGACAGGCTTTCAAAAAGCATTTGGGCGGACACTTTTGTCCATTCTGGTGGCTTGCTGCCAGTGAAATCCCAGTCCTATGGCAGCAGATGGATGTTGCAGCTTCAAGACTCTATGAGCGTGATGCACATGGAGCAATAGGCCGGATTGTTCTGGGCTTGAGTGTTCAACTTCTCACTGGCCCGACGGTGTTTGCCACCATCATTCTGCTACTTCGATGGAAACCTTGCCGTGGCCTTCCTCTAAAGCTTCTGGCAATGGCACTTTGCCTTTGTTTGGTGTTCGGAATCCACACTCTCTTTCGAGCTCTCTTTCAATCGCTCGGGGAGCTGTCAGGATCCTTGATTTTTGCAGGCTCTTTTTTGCTACCCACCATCATTCTTTGGCATGTGTCTGCTTACAAATCTTGAGGCCGTGCTACAAAGTTGCTGCGGCGCCCTGTAGATTGACGGATTTTGAAGTAATGTTCTTTCACAACGAATTCCGGCAGTGGTTTTAATTTTTTAAAGCAGCCAGGACTGGAAGCACCAAAACGGGAGGGTCCATGTTTACACTGTTTGTTTAGTCCAAAGAAACAGCAGGTACTGTAGTGCAGGTGAAGAAACTGTAACCCATCAATACAAAGACCATGCTGTTTGCCTATTAAAGTGTGAAAGATGGCGGAATCTGGGCATAAACACAGATAAACACACTTAATGCACTCCAACCTATTGCAACCGAGTATCAGTGACTTGGCAGTGAACTGTTTGTTGTACATATTTCTTTGTGCAATTCATCTAGTTAAAATTGAATGACCCCCACCAGATCCAAGATATTCTTTGCAGAGAAAGCGAAGGGTATAGTCGAACATAGTGGATGATGTAGCTCTTCAATTTAATGAGTTGGGATTGTGTCTTGAATCATCTTCATTTGCAGCGCACCGACGTGTCAGATCTGCAAATCCCAGAATTGAGGAGGACTTAATTGATCGATTCTGATCTAGGATTGAGGACCATTCAGAATGGTACTCGCTTTGGTAGCCCTTTGAGGACTCCAACGCCTTCTAAGAATCGACTATCGACTAGGCATCCCAGAGGCCACCGCCTGCATGAAGAACAAGGAACCTGCAATGTGTGCCAAGCTGTGGAGCTGTAACGTAAAAAGGGGAGATCTGTATAGATTCACTTATATCTAACAAAAAGAAACAAAGCTCAAACAAGACACTCACTTAACACCATCGCTTTTTTCGCATGGGTTAGCATGGGCACTTGGGAGCCCCTAAACCACAGGAACCAGCTGGACCGACACCTCGTTCTCGGCCGGCCCGTATGGGACCGAAAACCCCGGTGACCCGACCGTGCCAGGCCTCAGCCAAGGCAAAGGATTCGGCCTTCAGCCCCTCGGTTCTGATGCTGGTTTCGACCAAAGGGTTGGAGGCCAATCGTTACTAGGGTTGGAGGCCATCCGCAAGAACAGACACCAACAAACAGACACGGATTTCTGGTCTTATAGAGTTTCTGAAGGTCACAACGATAAGTGACGGAGCCAACAGAGCGGACCAACAGAGCGGACAGATTGTGAGCGACCAGCGTTGCTTTGGATGTTCTGTGAACATGGCTTCGCGATGCTTCGCTGATTTCCCGCAGCAAATGACTCGTATGTGTTCTCATAGCGCTGATTCCTTGAGGCTTGCATCAGACGATGCAGGGCTACATCTCAGGCTTCTCTTCTCGAAAGTGAGTCAGATCGCTCGACTGCCCCGCTTTGCGGGTGAGGTAGATGTCCGTGGGTACGTAGGCTGACACGATGTGAATCCGTTGGCTGACATGTGACATGGAGTCCGTTTCCTGAAACCAAGCAGATCCAAGCAGATGAGTTTCGGGTTTGCAGACAGGCTTTCACATTGGTAAGTGGCTGCCACTCTCGCACCCGGCACGGCCAGGTTAAGGTCGTGGTGAAAACACGCGGCTGGCAAGGGCCAGGCGCACCGTTCTCCATACACCTGGAAATATGTAAAAGATACAGTAAACATCAGTAAACATTACAATGTTTATAATGATTTGTAATGTGTAATATAAACAATATAACAGTTATAGCGGACTATAGTATACTATATAGCTACTGTAATTAGTTTCTATGCTAGTATGATCTAGTATGGTTTGATGTCTCAGTTCTTTTTAATTCCCGGCCGTAGCCGTCTGCGTGTCCACGCGTCCGTGATTCACGCTGCGTCGACCGGCGCGCTGAGCAGTAGGAGGGCAGAGCAGTTGGCAGAGCAGTGCCGGAGCAGATGGATAGAAGGAACACCAAAGCTTTTCGATATCATATGCATTTTGTTGTTCAATCTGAGAACATGATCAGTTTGACTGTTTATTCGAGTTCATGATCAATTTGTTTGTTACTGTAACTGAACCCCCAAAGATTTCATTTCATCCTAGGTCAGTTGGGTTTGTTGTCATGCACCTTCACAAGCATGAGACTGGGATTTTCCATCGCTCGAAGGGTTTTCGGTTTTCAGAAGTCAGACTGAGATCTTCCAACGGCAACATCTTGGAGGATGTTGGATCATGATGTTATTCGCAGACGCGTTGGATCTTCCAACGAATGCAATATGTTTGCCTTTTGGCTCTAGCTTTGTAGATGACTCTGACAGTGGAGGTTTTGCACAGTTGGAAGATCTAGGGATGCTGTGTTGGAGTGTATCAAACCGCCACTCAAATATTTCAGCGTTTGGAGCTGGTGGGAGGTGCAGTTCTGGGAACGGGGCTGGGAAAGGAAGTTCAAAGAAGAACCCCAAGAATCAAGGCTTCAAAAGTCACAGTGGCCATTTTTTGCAGAATTCCTCCAGTCTTCCTCCAGCTGCACCGTTGGACACAGCCGGCCGGCCGGTCTTGTTTCAACACATGGACTGCGACTGCTCCGACTGCTTGTGACACAACGGTCAGACCGCACTTCTGGTGCAATATGCCAATGACGATTTGATCGATTCGACCATCACGCCATGGGAGGCCGGAGGATGGAGATGAGACAACCCAGATGACGGAGACGATGAGGTCAGGTCAGATTTGGAGATAAGGCAAGGAGATGTCGAAGCCACCGTAATTCACTTCATGAGAGGATAGTCTATGAACTAGACCGGGACATTGCTGAAAAAGTGCTTTAGGTGTTTTCCCAGCCCTTGCGACTTTTGGTTGCTGTGCTGGGAGAAAAGTGGTGGAAAACAGATCCAAGATGCCTCCTACCATGCCTCCTCCTCCCGTGGCGGCAGTAGGCGTGTGAAAACACACGACTTAAGAGGCGATGTCAATGTCCATGATTCCTGGATAAGATCATTGGCCGCTGATCGAGAGGGGGCGCGTGGTCCTCACGATGCTTCCAAACGCTATCAGAACTGGCCCATATGCTTCCTGTGTCATTCACACGATGTTCCTCGGCGCGGCGCCAGTGACGTAAAGAGAAAACGTGGGACCTGCGCCACTGAGTGTTGCCGCAAGGAAGGAAGAAAGAGAGACGCGGTGGTCACGTCAAAAAAACACCATCGTTGGGCACGTGGCCTTCAGTAGGCGCGTGCCTCATATCTACTACTTTGATCCCCACATCAATGCCAGGAAACCACAGGTTAGATAGAGGAATGATGGTACTGCGTCGCGTATGTCAGTGCTACTGCTTGCTATTTCTCCTGCTGCAATCAGCAAAAAGGCAGCTACTACAATGTTACAATACAGGATTATATTGAAACTAGTCAGTTTTTTTCCACGATGGGCTCGTTGGAAATCACATTTGCTATCTGAACACACGTTCAGCCCCTGATGCCTCGCCACGCTGAATTGGAGACCCATATACAAAGCCGGAAGACCACTGAAGACAACAACCTGAGAGGACCCTGCAACAGGTGTTCCAACTGTTCAACAGTGAGGTAGCAAGGCTTTGTAGGGAATGATGTCCAACCTCTTGGGAAGGCAAGGGAATTGGTATGTATGTTGCGGTTTCAGAGTAGATGGCCCCAGCATGTTTTTTTGTTTTGATATGGGCTGCTATGGGAGTCCAAAGCCCAACTAACACCTGATGATATGGGGGATTCTGCTAAACCACTGTAGACCCGTACTGTTTTCAAACGCCCGGTCCTGTACTTGGAGTGACACATGCACCGTTTTCACCACTGCCGCTTTTCCTGCGGAGGGCGTAGAATCGAGGTCAGGACGGTGGTGTCAGACGAAAAGGTTCTGAAAACGTACAGTTTCGGAGTAGAGGATGCACAGTAGATGCCCTATGTCAAGGTCTAGATGGAGGTCCATGGAGGTCCATGGAGGTCCATCTCGTGTGGATGATGCCATCTACTCTCCATCCAGCAAAGAAGAGATCAATTTGGTCCATTCAGCGGCCGATGACCCCCCAGTGAGGTGAGATCGATCAGCGCGTGCGTCTGAAAACAGTGACTGCAGCGGAATGCTGGATGGTATTGCGTTGGGCTTCGTAGAACGGGGATTGAGGCGTGAAGCAGTTAGACTTGGCCATGTAGGTTTCAGGTCGACCTGAAAGCTTTTGATATCCAACCGTGGAGGGTTGAGACAGCTTCAAGGAATTCCTCATGAGAAAAGGGCGAATTCCTCCGATCTCGGAGAGAAGTTGAAGCAACTTGCTGACATGAGCAGGAGGCTCTTCGAACAGCAGGAGCCCCATCTGACGGCTTGCCGCTGTAGTCCTACAGCGGCGGGATCGATCCTCCTCTCCACCGGCACCTCACCACTGCACTGCACTCCAAGTGGCCACATGGAGTGCCAGTTCTGAGGCCGGTCGCACCTGTGACGCAGGCTGCGGCAGAGGCACCGAACGAAAAGCCGGAAGGGTTGGAACCGCTTTTGAACCTGGTGGTTTTATGTGGTTTTTGGATGATACTCCTGAGAAACCGTGAAAATCGTGTTTTTTATTGGTGTATAGTGGGAACTTTGGACACTTTGCAGTGGTTCTGGTTTTCTTGGAGGCTTTTTTCACATCATCACCCTTTTATTCAGAAGATTCTTGTTGGACCCAGCAGAAGGAGATGTGTTGAGAAGGTAGGGAAGACATGGTGCTTCACAGTAACCTTGCAACACACAGTAACCTGCATGTACCTATAGAACCTGACGGCTAGCGGCTAGCGCTGTTTTGGAGGATCAACTATAGTAACTATCCAAACATATCCCAAATATATGGGCCTTTTCCTATCCAAACAGGAGGTCAAATATTTCTACGTATATTGTACTTCGAGACTGCTGGACCTTCAGAAGGATTCTGTGTGTTCAGCACCGACATGTCCACCAAATTCCAAGAATCGGAGTATCTCATCAACTAGCAAGCACATATAGAATCATATAGATTAATCCAATTAACTCCACAGAACATGACATTTCGATCTAGCAATGCATGCAGATCACCAACCTGACCAGCATCGTTTCCTCTTTACCCACCTCACCTCACCTCACCCCACCTCATCACGGTTTCACCGCCCGACCTCGTTCCGTACCGGGCTGGCGGAGGCCATCGGCCGCATCGCTCTGACCACCAGCGCCTGGCGACCCGTGCTGCGGAGCTGTGCCATGGAGGCCCGTGGAGTGAGCGGGGCTGGGTGGGGTGCTGGAAGCCAAGTCGGAAGTGTTGGAAGAGATGTGGAACACGGACGTAGGAGGATGGACTATTTCAATGACATGGTCCGTGTTTTCCACTGATTTGTTGGAGTGTGCTTGTGTTGGTAAATCCGAGCACACCAGGAGATGGAACCTCTCAAGACATAGATATATAGATATACCCTGGGAGTCAAAGACTATACAAAGAATGGTCTTTAGGTGACCCAAAAAGGAAGTTCCTTTACTTCAGTCGGTCAAAATATAGTCTTTGGACTTCTAAGGGTATATATAGATATCACTATAGTATATCTCCTCCTCCCATTTCCTTTCGCTTCCGCCTTCCGCCTTCCGCTGTGCTGCTCTCACCGTGTCGGTCCGGTCCGGTGCGAGGCCCTGACGAATTGGATTCGCTACGGCTTGCCGGACCGGAAGCTGAACAAGGCCAGACCGTGGCGGCTTCGGTCGGGTGGTCCGGCTCGGGGTCGAAGGGGGAGGTGGGTCGGGAGGTGGGTCGGCTGAGGTAGAGAGGTGGGTGAACAGACTGAGATGGGGGCGACTAGATGGCAGAAAAGGGTTTTAGCAAGCTTCTGGTGATTCTATGCAGTTCTTCGAGATGACTATGCAGCTCGTTGCAGTTCCTTTGATGTTTAAGGGATACGGGGAGGATCGGGGAGGCATAGGAGGCCATTTGTTTAACGGGACCCTGGCGTTCAGGGACGTCAGGAAGTGATGCTTCCTGGGTCACGGGTGGTCCCAAACTCCCAACTCTGGCCGATCGTGGTGACACTTCATCAGTTCAGCAATCCTGAAACCTGCAGTACCCCTTCTTGTACCTCCAAACACTGGATATCACTGGACCGGTTCGTGGTGCTGGCGTCATTCGCCAAACCAGTTAGCCGATCCAGCTGCCGATCACACCTGTTCGCGCAGCTACTATGGCATTGGGGTGAATCTCTTTTTTAGCGACAGATCCATACACATCCCACTTCACCTGGTGAAGGTGGTCAAAACCGGAGTACCCTGGTTGACCACTGAACATGAACGGATTCCTCCTTTCTTCAGTGCATATCGCACCGTGTTTCACCTGACACCTGAGCCCACCGAATCCCGCCACCACCGCGTAAACGCATCCGCGCGTGTGACGCCTCCGCGCGCCGGTCGCAGTATCTCTTCTGGGCGGCCGCCGCGATGTCGGGTATGCCCTTTGTCGTCGGGCCCCAAAGACACAGTGTGAGTGTGCAGTGTATAGACTCGAGCACTCGAGCTCATAGATTTCGACCTCCCCAGAGTGGAAGAGGTTTTACAATCCATGTGTTTGGGGATTTGTAGACTCTTCATTCCTATGAGGGGTTTATGCATCAAGCGTCTAACAGGTTTTGCTGGGTTTGATGTGGCTTCTTGCATTTGTCCAGCAGGTTCAGAGAATCACCTGCTGATCATATTTAGTAGTTCTGCTTGGTGGGGTGCATTATAGAAAAAGTATGAAAAAGTAGATTGCTTAATGATAGATCTAGGTTTGGTTTGTCCTATTACCTGTAACAGTCAGTAAACAAGTATCATTATTTGTGACTACTAACCATCATTATCCACTGTTACTGGCAATAGGATTGACCGAAGATCTAGTATAGTCCTGACTGCAGCTTGCAAGCTTTGTTTGTTGCCATGAACCTACCAGCAATGGATAGCTATAGCGGCTGGGTCCGGCTGGGACATGCGAATTGGGATCAGCCTCATCCTGCGCACCATGCGGCACGCTTTTCTATTTGGGTCTGCTTCAGGTCCCAAACCAATTTCGACTGGAGATGCAGACCAGGATTTCTTCTTGATGGTCCCAGCATCACAGAGTTTCGATCACATCCGGGGCCGCCGTCATGGCCTCTGCTCGTTGCGGCCCCAACAACTCGGGAGGGACCAGGCTCTTTCCGGTTCGACCACACGGCTGGTGCCATATCCACGTCACGTGACTGCTCATCACTCGGAGTGAAGTGTAACACTAGTGTACCCTATTTAAAAGTGGAGAACCCTTATACAATAATCCTATATAATCCTACAACCTCTTTGTCCTCTGTCTTCATGGGAAACAGACCATCTGTGTCTTCCTTTGCTCGGTTCCTCCGATCGCCGATCGGATCGGTCAAGGCGAATGAGGTGAAGCTCCACATGAACAGCGTCTCCGCGGTGGGGGGTGGGTGAGTACCGGTGGGTGAAGCAATAAGGAAGGTCACCAGGATGCTTCAAGGTCACCAGGTACGTCTTGGAAGGTCACCAAATCATCAGTATGGTGGAACATGCAATGATTTTCATGCCATACTGTGGAACACAAGAACTCTCTCCCTCCTCTCGATAGGTTGATGCGGCCCTTTGTACCATCATCGATATCTTGGATGAAGACATCGATGGTGCGAAGCCACAGTGGTTTGGCGAACTACGGAAGAGCTCTGAAGAAAGAACGTTGAGGTACAGGATGACATCAGGTTTTACTTGACAGATCTTGACAGCTAGAGCCATCTTGTTCACTCGAGCCATCCGTACTGATTCAAATTTGTCGGTTGCTTGAAGCACTGCAGAAAAAGCAAGCAATCGAGATCGCACAGCACAAGACAGTCGCCGACATTCCTATCCCCAGTCCACACGGCATGTTCATTCCATGTTCTGTGTACTTCTAAGTTGAGATGGAACTTGTTATAGTTTCATCGCAACGATGTGCGTTCATGAGTGCCTAACCATCTAACCTGTGTTTAATTTCTATTATGACATCCGTGATCCTTGGCCCAGATTCCCATGTCCTTTGTGGGCACATTTGCTTTCACCATCACCAACCAGTACAATGGCGCCAATACCATTGACGTCCTTTGACTTGTGCTTCCTACGTCCTTTTCTTCAGTTCTTCGGAACGGAGGAGCCGACCGAGAGGAGCCGAACGGAGGAGCTCGCACCCTCGCAGGTGAGTATACCCTCGCAGGAGCTGACCGTGGCGAGGCGCCGGAGCGAACAGACCGGTCGCGGCGACCGGTCGCGGCAGGGAGTCGGACGATGGGTGGATGACCCCCCTTGAATTGGTCTGCTAGGAGGGAAGAGATGGTGGTCACTTCTGTTGGCAGTCGACAGCTGACAGGTGTTTGTGGTGTCTGACAGGACGGCAACTTCACATACAGGATCCAACTAGGAGATATCTTAGAAAATCCCTAAGCCACAGATCTTCCATGACTTCTATAACAATGTATTTGTGTTTTTCATCATGAAACAACGTTTCCATGACAATTTGGTGCCTGCCACTTGGCACCTTTGTGGCGTTTCCACCTGTGCGGATGGGAAGCCAGGCGGAGATGCCGGACCTCTTGGGCCTCATCGTGCAAGCCATGGGCCTCCATTCGGGCGCGCCCGAGGCGCGCGGGTCCCCGCGTCACCGGGCGACCGACACGGAAGGATGTCCGTCTGCATGACTTATGCTAGGCATGACCGATTTTTTCCGCCATGACGTCTGTGGATTCCGTTTGGGAAGAGGTATGTGGATTGTGCGTTTGGTCAATTGCCTGTGTGTCACTAAAGTGAAGAATAGGGGGTGATTGAGACACTCCATGGGCCATGGATGTTTACCTCCATTCGTCCCGGCGTCCAAGGCCGCCGTCCACCAGGACGTCAGTCCACCCGGCCCCGAGTCCTGCGGTTGACTAGCACCATCCCAGATTCAAGCGCGCGGCTCCACGTGCATCAGCTTACTGGTGCCTTATGTGCCCTTTGCCGCGTGACAGCACGGAAGTAGGAGAGATCAGACGGGACGGTCCTGGACTGGGCAGAGAGCTGGATGGTATGGGAGGTGTTTCCATTCACACGTGTCCGTTGGCTCACGCTGAAGGGAACCCACAAGCCAAGCTTGCCAAGGTCTCTTGCCAAGGTCTCTTGGAAGTGGTTCGTTGACAGTAGCTGAGGGGAACCCGAACTTGAGTTCTATGAATCGATGGTCAATATGGCCAGTTTGTCTTGTTGTGAGCGCAACAAGATACCCGATGCCATGTCCAGAAAGAGTCATGTCGACTGCCGATGAACCAATCACCCATCTCAGCACTTGGAATACCATATCATATACTATCATATACCATATATATATATATATAACATGTGTTTCTGTTGAATGGCGCAGAAAAAGTATTTTACCCCAACTGGTGAACCCCCAGCTTCGGATGCAACTTCGCTGGACACCCAGCTTCCTGGGAGCGGTCCCAGTGGTCGGCCCAGAGGGGTCGCTTTTCTTGATCCGGAAGAAGAGAAGGTTTCGGTTTCGCTCGTTGAAGGTTTTTGGCCCATGTTATCCTCACCTTTTCAGGTTTGGATAGCGATATCTAGTGGCAACTATATAGTGCCCTTTTCGAGGTACTTAGACTTCCGTGTGCACACAAATGAGTATCTCGGTTTTAATCAGTTGGCCGCTACCATGAAGCGACGCACCCTGCCATGACATGTGACACCAAACACCCTGCCATGGCCGTTGAGGCGAAGCTCAGTGCCGTGGCGCCGGTGGCCATCGTCTCGGTGCCGCTGGGGAAGTCGTTATCCGGGCCACGAAGGAAGAACGTCGAGGACTTAGCTGACGACAGTGGCATAGAAGTCATGTGATAATTGGCGTTTTGCAAGTGATATCGATGGAACTGATGCGTTCGAACCAAACAGTACGGAGGTACGACACCTGACCAATCCGACACAGTCAGGCCCTCCGGGGGTCGGACCCCTCTTCGAGTCTGGACCCTCAAAACAGGCTCCGAGTCGAAGCCCAGGGTGATAGGACTCCCAAACACGACCTGTCCGGGACTGTTGGACTGCCCAGAAACGGTGTACCGTGGGTGTACCTTGACCTTGGGGTGACCCCAGGTATTACATGGAGTGTTTGGGTAAGCATGGGAGATTTGACGTCAAGCACCAGCCAGGTGGGAGGGTGCAGGGTGCCTGTTGTGAAGCATCTTCACTGCCATCCGCAATGCGTATTCATGGCCGGTAGCAGGGTTGTCCTGGTGTAAACGTTCAGATTATATCAGATCCCAGACACGACCTGTCTGGGACTGCTATAATATGCCTACATTGACCCCCCTGGCACCACCCTTGGCCGTCTCAGCAGTCCTATGGCAGTCCCAGACAGGTGGTGTCTGGGGATTAGTATTGGTTGAATCGGCTCTTGAATCGTAGAATCCTGGGGTCGAGTCGGCTCAGTTGTTCTCCACTGAGCTCCTGGTGAATCGTCGCCTCCACCGCGATCTCCAGGTACTCACTGGCCATCGCCGGTTCCCCAGGAGGATGGCCAAGCCTTCCGCTTTCGCGCAGGGTGGGAGGTGGGGTATACCTACAGAGGTTAAGTGACCTGAACTAGGACCCTACAGGGGTAGGTATAGGATAGTCTATAGGGTTCTTCAACCTCTGCTGGTTGGTGGGGTATACACCAAATCGATCCAAATCGGGCAAGCCGATGAGCAGTTCACCCCAAGAACTCATCCCCTCATCACGAAGCACTTTGAGTTCTGTGGGAATACACCGCGAAGAAAATCAAGGATTAGTTCTTGCCGTTGGTAGCCGCAAGACAGAGGGCAGAGAGACAAGGTGTGCGTTTTTGCTCCAGATACATGAAGATTCCTTGTGCTTGACCACGGTCCTGTGTTCGACATCCAATCCCGTTTCTTTTCGTGGTTTTCGACACACAATCTGTTTCAGTGTTATTTCTCCATGCAAGTGTGGGGGTTAGATGAGGTTTCATCAGGTAGATGAGTTCCCGTGCGCACCGAACAAGTCACCATAGCCTGACTTCACATCGAAGTGAGCAGCCCATAGCCTGACGGTTTGAGTGGTTATCTCTGATATGTTCCAGGCTGATATGGCTCAAAGTATACGGCTCAACCGAATGATTTAGTTTGAGCTATATTTTTGATATGGGTGTGTATAGCTCAAACTAGGGAGACCGATCGTAGGTGTTCCAACCCCCCTGATACACACAGACCAGTCACACAGATCAGGTGGAGATCCCAATTCACAACGGATGGTGCCACAGGTACTTACCACAGGTGTGGCGTGATTGATGTCTCTCGCTTTCGGAGCGGCTCGCCCCCCCTCAGCTCGGCTGAGACTCATGCCCTCAGCAGTCAGCGAGCGATTGAGCCGCAGGATGGATGTGATGAGCGGTTCTGCTTGCGCACTGCGGGCCTTCTGTGAACTATGCAGGCTGGGACAGCGACAGCCGCATCCGGACGGTGTCCGCTGTCGCCCGAGACCAACGTCACAAGGGCCGATGCGTTGGCATCGGAACCGCGGTCGCCCGCGGAGATGCCAAGGAGTGATTCGGAGATGACATGTCCCAGGATTGAACTTTGGAAGTCCCGAGATGAAGGTGACATGTTGCAATTGACCAGTTTCAGGAGCGCACCAGTGTTTGATACAGACATGTTCTATGTATTCTTGTTCGGAGAGCCTTACTGTAGTTGAGCATATACTGAACGTATCAGTTGGTTGTAGCGGATCACTCTTGCTCAAGGCTCAACTTATTCCAGACAGTTCTCCAAAAGCATCAGTTTCTGTAGAAGAACCAGACTCTCATAAACCTGCAAGAGAAAACATGAGAAACCTATTGTGCTTTGTTGGGATGTCTATTTGAGTCTATCTACTTCAGGATAGAAACAAACACAGATCACAGCTCACACCAGGGTGTTTAGGCATCAACGGTCAGGTTGCGCGGTTGCAACACGACCTCGCCAGGAGACATCAGGGCGCCGAGGGCACCGAGGTCAGGTGTTTTGATTTCAAGCGATGACAGGTTCGGATGGGGTGTGCAATGTCCCAGAAACACACCCAAATGGAGCGATGCACATTGCACTTGCAGCAGCAGGTGATGAGTATGTTTCTTCGTGTCGTGGCGCCACTATATGAGACATAGTATGAGACATATAGTCCTAATTGTGCCGCCAAAACTCATCAGGACCTGGAAGTAATAGTCCAATGGATTGTGCTGCCGTCCTGGTTTCTGTTACACCCTGGAAAACTAACATGGACCCTGAAACCTACTGCTTGGCAAGAGCAAAAACACTTTTTCAAACGTGCCTTTCGACCCGGGTCCGACGTGACGTGAAACGAGGAGTGTAGGTTTGTGTAGGTGGTTTTCAGGCGATGAAGAGTATGCTAGCATATAGCCCTTTAGCGTCCCCTTCATCACCCATCTCCCCGACCGGTAGTGAAGTGCCGTTACTGTGCGCTGAGCGAAGTGAAGAGGGTTGGGGTGCGTCCTTCACGGAAAAACCCCTTGAAACAACATGCCTTGAAAGCATGTCAAGGGATTCTATGGTGACCCGGTGGGACATCATTTGAGTTTGATGGGGAAAAAACATGTGTTTGATGGGACAATGACACTTCTAATCAGCAGGTCCTGGCTCAAGAGCCGCTTTTCTTTGAGCTAGGCATTGCCATCTTAGGATGCCCTCTCGGAAAAGAAAGGAGGTTCTTGGCAGGTCCTTTTTGCCAATGGATAGGTGCATCCCCAAAATGGGGAAACATTAGGTTTTGGTGGGGTTTGTTAATCTTCGCAGGGACTGTGTTAGGATTGGCTTGTATTTGGTGGAACAGACATGTGGAAGACCAAATGTGCAAGGTATTGTTCCGGTGGAATGAATGATGCCCAAACGTTGGAAAGTGATGGAACGTGTTACTTGGGAACACAAAAGGAAAAAGGTGGAGTCGCGTAGGCCCAGCTGACAGGCTACCGAGCGAGAAACACCGTTCATCCCTGTCTGACAGGGAAAAACTTGCTTTGACTGGGACATGGTTCTGTTGGGGGGTATGTTGGGAACAAACAATTGGGGGTATGTTGGGGGTATGTTGGTGTCCTGAATGAGTTTGTTTGTAGGTCTCTTTCATGAAGTGGTGCTCTATCAATCAAGAGGGTGTGGTTGTGGCACTGTGAAAGCTCTACCAGCCACCCTGCTAATCACCAAAAATGGTGCCATATACATCATATAGTTATATAAAACCATATTCTTCAAAGCTCTATGTGAAGATGTGCAACCGAGTTGCCTTGGCTAAAGGGAGTCGACCTCCTCGTCTCCCCGGAACCAACCGATCCCTCGCGGCGCGCGGCCAGGTCATCGTGTCCCGGCTTCGCCAGGAGGGTGCGAGCGAATGTATGGAGCAGGCGGCACGCCCGGTGGCTACAAGCACTGAGAGTACGCACACTGAGCCATGAAAGACCTGAAGTTCGTGAAAAACATCTATTATAGTTAAAAGGGATTTAGCTTTAAAACCTGGTTGTTTCGGTATATCTACATGTGGCTGCTGGTTTCATATGTTGGACTTATCCGTTGACTCACAGTACAACTCCTCCTTGCTGGTGATGCCAACATGCTCTTTCAATGGACACCATGCCATCCACGCAACCATGCGACGAAACCTCTTGAAGTAAGGGAAGAACCAACATCAACCAAAAGGCAACAAGAAAACAATCAACAATTATATAGATCAAACACACTTTAACATATTATCTAGTACCACAGAATCACACCCCCCGGCCATTCCCTAACTCTGTATTTTTTCCTCCAATAGTCGCCCAAAAGCTTTCCATGGTGGATAGATGCGGTGTTTGTTTTGTTTGTGGTTCTTCCGAGCTGCCAGGTCTTCATGGGATTCTCCCACTACGAGGATGCCTCGGAGCTCCTCGAGGAGCGAGCTCGCTCCGCTCTTTGGTCCGGCTTTCGAGATCGGTCGAACCCGGGAGGATGAATGAATCGAGGCATCGATGGGGCTTTCAAGAACGGGACTCGATCTGTAATAGATTGTATTCTTTATATAGTTGAAAAAATATACTTGGTCGTATGAATTGTGTTTGTATTTGTTTGATTTCAATTCGACACTACACCTTTTGAATCTCTATATATATAGCACTTATTTGTATTCAGACAAGGTCACAAGTGTCAAACAAGCTCTACTTGATCCTATTTCGTAGCTCACAACAAATACTAGTTGTGCGCTTCACTATGAAGCCTACAGGTTGAGGTTACCACCGCTGGCTGTTCAATCTCCCATCTCATCCGCACACCTCCTGGCACCTCACATCCACTTTAGCACCATTTGCCTCAAAAAGACGATCCCAGACTTCGAACAAACACCCTCCGCCCTCCTTCTTCCGATACGATCCATCCCAAATCCTCAGGGATTTGGGCGTTTTTCTGTCTCCTTGGCGTCTTCACACGCACAGCTCTCATGGCTTCACCGGGACCGGTCGGCCAGGACGCTGCGGCGGTGCACGCGCAGCTCTCGGGAGTGGAGGTGTGAGTAGCGGTTGAGCGAGGAGGGACGCAGGGGTTGAGCAGGTGTTGAGTCTGAGTCGTTGCCGCGGTGCCTTTCTTAAAGCCATTTTCAAGGACGTGTTGTTCGGAGGCAAGGTGATGTGGTGGCTTGAAGAGGCAGAGGTGATGTGTGATTGGGACTGACAGAGTGCACAAGGCAACGTTGAAGTGAGTAAAAAGAAGGAAATTGGAAGTCTTGGTCTTGATCCCCAAAAAAGAAGGACTCCAGGGCATGTCGGCTTCAGAAGTGCTTCCGTTTCAAGAACTGCCTGCAAAGTCATCGGGTGGCACTTCAGCAGCGCTGTCTTCGTCGCCTCGTCTTCGTCTTCGTCTCCAGGCGCTGCTGAAGCGCCTGGCAGAGGAGCCAGCGACCTCGTTACTGCGGGTGGCCGGGCTGAAGGCGATCTTCGAGGAGAGCGGGAGCGGGAGCGGGAGCGGAGTGGAGCCGCCGTTTTTTTTTCGAGCGAGTGAGAAGCATTGTGAAGTGAAGCTATAGTAGGTGAAGATGGTGAAGTGAAGAGATCCCATATGGTTTGTCTTCAGCAGAAAACAATCTGAAAACATATGTCTTCAGCGTGCCATGTGTTCTGGCTTGTCAGGCCAGATTGAATGAGGCCCCGATCTGGTGAAAGAGCGTTGCCATTCTTCTGGCGTATTGGATTTTCGATTGGCTTTTGACTTGCAACAAGTATGTGTCCAAGGAACAACTGGGCAGCGCCCGCCAAGGGTGTTTCTTATCAGATGCGAATGCACCAGTCCAGTCACTTTTGCAAAATGCTTTGCGTGTTGGACAAAAACACACCTGACAAACATGCATCAATTGTACATGAACCCATCAATCACCTAGAATCACCTAAAAACCTCCATCGCTAGGCCTTCAACATTCAGCCGCCATTGGCGACTTGGACGAATGACCCGAACATCGCCTCGCTGGTGGCGTCGCGTTCGCCCTCCTTCCGCGACATGTCGCGCAGGAGGGCCGACTCGACATGGACTTCTTCTCCGGCCGTGCGGCCGCCACAGCCATTGAGGCGACCGATCCGGTCGTTTTCGGCTTCGAAGGGTACAGCTTTCATCGTCCCTCATTGGAAGCTTCGCTTCTTTCGTTGACCAAGTGCGTCTTTGTCTGAATTATTGTTGTTGCGTTGTTTTAAAACCCACAGATTTATGCTATATATATAAATAATGTTTGCTAAACTCACAAAAAACACATGTATTTTCATTTTTTAAGTCTACTTGTATGCTGCATGCTTAACGCGGCACATCAGACCAGGCAGCTGTACTATACTACTCTGGCAATCAGAAGTATCGAAAGCGGCTTGGCACCAACTGCCACCCCAAAGTTCTTTCGATACTGAAGTAATTTGGTTTGTCTACTCAACATATATTATGTGGTGCCAAGCATCAACATATATCAACATCAACCAGGAACATCTAATATCTAGGTGAAAATAAACTCTATAAAACCATAGGGGATATGCTATTCCATAAAATGGTTTAGGGGCTACCCTTTTTAGGGGGTGACACCCTGATTTTTGTTCGTTTAGCGTGCAGGTGTATTTTGCTTTGTGTTTTTGGATTGGCTCAAACACATGAGCATCAATCAGGCTTTCCCTAAAACCATGGTCAGGACTCCCCCCAGGGAATTTACACAGAGATGATCTATAATCATATCTAAATTATATAATTTGGTTGAATCCTTTGGCATTGCTTCAGGCCTGTGAACGGATGGTCTTGGAGGCACGCGCCGACGAAGACGGACGTGCCGGACGGCGTCGGACGTGTCCAACACGTGGACGGCCTCGGTGGACCGGGGACCGTCCGACGCCCCGGTCCGAACTGGGTGAAGGAAGAGCTTCGTTTACGACATCACCATCGTGACCTGAATAGATTCATCGTGACCTGAATAGATTGAATAGATTGAATGTGACCTGAAAAAGGACCTGTTTAAGGTCCCTGGGGTATCTATGATATAGTCGAACTCGGGTTCTTCAACCTTTCAACGGTGGTTTCCTCTTTCCTTCGCAGCGTTGTGCGGATAGTATCTTCACCCCCAAAACCCTCACCACATCTTCAACTCCGGTGTTACAGCCTTAGGGCGAAGAGACCAGGACCTGGGAAGAGACGTGGCTTCCTTGCGGAGGGAGGGACGTGGGATCCGCGGATGTCGCTGTCGCTATCGCTCGCGGAGCGGACACCGGACACACCGCAAGGCCACGCGGTACAACGAGTCGGAGAAGGCGCGACGGTGATGGGGGGGGGTCCCGTGACGCGACCAGGTCCGGAGGAAGCGCTCCGACTCATGTGGAGCGAAGCGCAGGACATGAGGTGGTAAACAGTTCCATAGATGGCCAATGGAGGGCTTGGTGTTCAAGGCGTTTTGCCGCCAGTTGCCTTTGACGAGCGCTTTCCGGCTGGGTACCAACCCTCGAATTCATGCTTTCTAGTACTTAGCTGTCTCGTCTGGCACTCGTCAACGGCGTGCTGTCACTCGCGTGTCCATCACTTAGTCACAATGTTTCATTTAAGGTAGTGGAGTTGTGATGTTGTGAACCTCTTGATATAGTGATTGCATTTTAAAATATTTGAGGAAGTCAGGAAAATGCATTGTAAGAAGCTGTAGATTGAAAGGACAATTCGGTGTTATGCCAAGTCTGGATGTGCACAACAGATATGTCCAAAGCCGAACAGCAAGACTTTAGCAAGTAGAATTGCTTTAGGGACCTGGCATATTGAGCTACACACCCGGGGTGGTTGACCTGGGGTCATTCGGGGTGGTACATATATGTCATATTCATACGGAGTGGCCGTTTGGGTCATGTCCACCGGGAGATGTTTCGATCAATGGATTGGCGTGAACATCAACAGGAAACCGGCTTCAACACCCCCCGGCACGCCACTTGCGCCGCTCTCCCATGGCAATCCAAAGGTCCTTCTTTTTCACAGGAAACTATAGGGAAGCCTTTTTTGGTAAGCATCCAGTACAGGCAAAGGTGCAACTATGGACCCAGTATCAAAGAAACCGACCGAAGATTGCATGCAACATTGCGATATCATACGTGATGAATGAACCGCAAAAGAAGCTCTAGAGCCGAGTTGAAGACAGATGGCAAGGATGAATGTTCCATGAATTTCCTTCAAGCCGCTCATGGAACCAAGGTAGGACCACTTGGATTGGAGGTGTTGGCAGGTGTTCATCCCTTTTTCAGCTGGAAGAGAGACACAGAGACAAAGACGAAAAGCAGACAGGTCCAGGTCCGACCGCTGGTCAGAGGAGCCCTCGGATCCACCCATTGACACCACTCGGCTCCATGAGGCGGGTGGGACGTATTTGGGAGCCGCTCCGAGGTCGAACATGACCTGCGGTAAAGAAATGGAGTTACGAAAGGCGAGTGCTTGCATAGAACAACAACAGGCAGAAACATGTTTCGGTTGATTCATCAAAGTTTCAATTTCTGGACTTCAGGCCTTGAAACCAACTTCTTTTTAAAGAGATGATGCAACTGCTCAAAACTGCTCCTCCCATGGGTGTGGCCGACCCCTCCAACAAGAAGCAACCACCTTATTTCCAGGGTGGCGTTGGTGGTCCATCCGTGGCCCCTCATCCACTCACGACTGGTTGACATGCACTGAACCCGTCCCGCCGAGGGTGGTGAAGCAAGCTTCGATCTGACCAACAGTTGGGTAGTAGGTCGAAACCTGTGGATCCCAGGCAGCCACGAAAAAAGAGGAAGCATGGATAAGGGTTTCTCTATATATATATATTATAGGTATATATAAGCTATTTAGTCTTATAGTTCAAACCGCAGAGAAAACACCCGGCAAAATCCCACCTGAGATGCGCCGAAAGTGTAGCGGCGCTTCAGTAGCAACGTCGGACCCGGACCGTTTGGGACCTCTTCGGAACATCGTCGTCTTCAGCGGCCAAAGCAGATGGAAGAGTTTCAGGCTGAGCACCAGCACCAGGTGTTTTCTGTTGGGGCGGCGTCTGTAGCGGCTAGATGAATGGGGGGTAACACATCCTTCAAGTAGACCATTCTTGCCGGGGTGGGGCGTCTTGCGGGATGAGATATGCGTGTAAAGGATATATATTCTTGTGCATGCCGAACCGAAGGTAAAGATCTGCCTGGAACCAGCGGCAGTCCGTCCTTTTGGTAGGCCCCAGTGTACAATCCAAAACTTTCCACAAGATTCATCTCCAAAGTGTTCTCGAAAAACATGTACAGTACTACATAGTACTACAACTTCATCCAGTTGATGTGTTCATGTGAGGCGACTTCTGGCCGTGGCCGTCCGCTTTGGCTTCGCTCCGGTGTGGCTCCGGTCGCAGGTCGCGTCCCTGGTCTCGGGTCTTTGTCGAGGCGGGCCGAAAGCGGTTGCGGCTGCTTCAGCCGGGGCGGTTCGGCGGTTCGACGAGTCGAAAGCGGGGTTGAAAGCTGAAGTGGATGGTACTTGGAGCCGTTTGGTGTTTTTTTTTTTTTGGAGAATAGGGGATGCGGCTTGAGATTTGAAGCACCAAAGCTGGGGCGGAGTGTGTTGTCTATATTTCACGACTCTCGTTCCATTGTTTGAACATCGGGTGAGTCGTAGCATGTTGGAAAGCCTGAAGGAATCAGTTTTGTACAGGGTTTTGGCGATGTTTTGAGGGAAGGGCTGTTGGTTCTCTTACGCACCTGTGGTGTTTTTGTTTTTCATTATATTTTTTTCAGGATCCTTGTGAGTGTCCACTCAGTTCACCTCATGTTTATCGAACAACATCAATGAAGGAGACCGTTTGATGGATTCCTCCATTTTTCCATTTTTGATATATAACAATAAGATAGAATTAAACAATGATGATACATGCTAAATACACCCCTGTGTCACGTAGATCAATTGGGACAGTCCGTAGAAAAAACACGGTCAATATCGAAGAAACCCATGTTCTTCACTTCCCCCCGTTGGGCGAATCATGACCAGGTCGGTTGGCGGCCTTGGGGTAGCACGTGCGGCACGCGCCCCATGGACGAATTCGATGGATTTGGTGTTGGTATAGGGAGTGGAACTGTGGAACTGACTGGTCTTTGAGCTGCTTGAGACTCTTTTCTGTTGGGGGGGAAGGGGCATCGCTTGAAGTGAGTAGAAAGCCGACCACTTCATGTCGATGAGATGTTGCTGCAGCCTTGCGTCCTGCTGACCGAGGTGGCTGGTGGAAATCCTCCGGCTGAGCGCCGAGGTGGCTGGCAGTGAGCTTGCTGAGCCTAAGCGGAATCTCAAGGACGCACGAGACATGACTCTAAACAGATCGTTTTAGATACCTCAGCCGCAGCCTCGACCGGTTTGATCGACCGGCCAAGACCTGGAGCAACAGATAGGTCAACGAGTCTGTTTTTTCGTGCCATGGCACTAGCCACATGAAGAGACGTCGCTTGAGCCGAGACACTCGGTGAGCTCCAAACAAAACTGGTCTACTGGGCCACCTGCCATGAGATCGAGTTAATACCCACCGGCGCGACGGAGGAACGGCACTTCTGTTTGCCTCAGTGTGCCAGAAAAAGAGAAGCTGCCATATAGAAGACTTGGCTGTTTCGCCCGAATTATAGCGTTAGCTCTAAGGTGAATCAAACGTTTATTTCTCACAGGGCCCCCCATGTTTGTTTTTGCAGCTTCAATCTTACTTTACCACCAAAGAGCGGACTGTTCTCCTTTACAAAGCCCTAGCAGCATTGAGTCTCATGTTAGTGAGTCTTCAGTGGTATGCCACGTGCAATCACTGAGCTCACCTCCCCTGCAGCCCGCTTCTACTTGTCCCAAAGAAAACCCTGGCCGGACTCGAATCCTAAATGCCTAAATGCCATGGGACATGCTTGTAGCATTTTGTAGTGGAATGTGGCAATAATCCATAATATTATCCAAAATGCCGGTGCGAGACAACCATCATGCATACTCAACGACATTGTCTTTGACCCACCCAGTTGGACAAATAGATGGCAGTCCCCAATATTGATCCGCAAAGATGCCCAGATCGGAAGAGAGGAGTGTGATTGGGTCCTGTGGACAATAGCAGTGGTGGGAGTGGGACTGTATTGAGAGCCCTTTAAGACGCCTTGCTACAGCTATCATCAGGGCGACTGAAACTGTTGTATATTATATAACTGACCTGAAGTTCTTAGATGTTGCGGATGAACATCGAGCTCGTTGGTTTTTGTGACCTGCAGACTTCGTGAACGTGACCGAGCGAAGAGTGCACCGTGCCGACGGACGGGCTCAGTGCACTTTACAAGTGCCGGGAATTTCGAGCGCTGCTTTGCCGCTGATGGAGGCGATGGATGTGCAGGTTGAGATGTCTTAGGGAATGTGGCGAATTGGGCGCCTGAAGAATTCTATTTGTTTATTTGTTTATATTATATCATTATAGTTATATATAATAACCATAATTAACCGGAGATCCTGAAGGTTCCCCTGGTCATTGAGATTACTAATTAAATTTGGATGGGCAGCCCATGGCGTGGAGAAAAAAAGACGTGCAGCGATCAACAATCGATTACCTTTGGGTTCTCCACCTCTGTGTTTCACGGTTACGACTCAATCCCAGATCCTGATGGAACCGATCGTGGGACGTATTGGACCGGGACGTATTGGACCGACAGGACTGGCAGGGCTGGGCTGTGGGTCATGACAGAAGGGGACCCTGGAGTCCCTTCACAGCGGGCTGTGACCCAGAATCGACGACAACTACCAGACATCGGTCAATCACTTCCAGGACCTTCAAAGTGACCTAGAATGAGATCCTAGAATAAGGTCACTTAGTCTCTAAAGAGGTCACTTAGAGACTCCAAAGAGGTCACGAACTGAAGGTCCAGGCTGGTATTTGTTTGTTTGGGCCTCCGAGTTTGGACCCATGGCCCGGCCATTAGCTTAGATGGCTTCTCCCAACCACCGCTAACCTCCCCGAAAAACGAGGCCGAAGATCATGGCGTCGAGGAGTCGGACGAGGGCGCCGGCATAGAGGCGCCCGGACGTCGGCGAAACGGGCGAGGAGGCGGTTCTTGTGAGTAAAACGAGGGCGGGACATAGACAACCACTATAAGGATGACAGTGAAGTCTATAGTAGGCGAATGACTATGGAAAGTCCGGTGCAAAACCGGTTTATCCATAGTCATTGGAATAGTCCAAAAAGTGAAACAAACAAAGTTTGAATCCTGCACCTTCAGACTTGCGAGATGTTCTCATTGCCAAAGCTTGGTTTAGAAGCTTCAGACGCTTGAGAAGGTTCCAAGCGATTGTGATCTAACAAAAACCAATATTCTTCAAACCAAACCGTCAAACCAAACCTTGGTCCGCAAACCTGGGTCAGAAGGTTCGATCTTGAACCGAACATGGTCAGAATCTGTGAGGAGGACCAATCGACCAACATGATCAGGTCAGAGTCGTCCTCACGTGGGTCGTGGGCGGTGCGGGTCGAGTCGTCCGACTGGCCGTGGCGGGTGGGAACACCCGTGGTGGCCGGGTCCTGCGATCTTGTTCCGGTCCCTTGGTGTTTGGTGTTATTTTTTTTTCTGCATGAACAAATAACACAATGGGTCCTTCCGGGATTGATGGTTTGGTTTATGTTCGCTAAAGAAATGTTGGGTTGAACTTCCAGTAGTTCTACAGCAGCTTCAAGATGTAGAGTCATTGGATTCAATCAGCAAAGGGAGGACCCTGACGGCCCTGACGGGATTGGATTGAGCAGCTTGTTGACCGGGTCGGATTTCCGTCTTGGGATTCAGAAGGTACCATTGGTCCGAAACGTATGACCAGCCCCCCGGACCGACGCGTAGCAGCAGTCAAGAAACTCTGGCCCATATGGATTTGGATGGCGTGTGTTTCGCATTCTTGTACACCAGTCACCAGTGTCCAACTTGTGTGCCGAGGCAGGAACAAATATACAACAATCATACTACAGTAAGTTCGAGTCAAAAAACGTGATGTCCGCGTCCTCGTATGTCCTCCAAAACGGACAGCCCTGCAGCTACATGTTGCTTCAAAGAAATCACATCTATACCCTAGGGCTCCTGGCCCATATCCTCAGGTTCGGTGGTTAGACCCCCTGGCACCCACCCCAACCACCTTCTCAGCAAGCACTTGGAGCGCTACAGTAGGGATCAATTCAGGACGCTCGTCGCATGCATAGCGAAGTCCCAGTGTCCTTCCGCTTCGCAGATCTCTTGTGAGGCCTCTGGGCAATCCAGAGCTCGAGAGGCCCAATCGTGAACCGGGAGCAGCGAAGCACGTGTGATGGGTGGTGATGAACACGTGCAGCCTCCAGATGAAGATGGCAAGAACATGTGGTGGTGCTCTTCAGAGCCTCCAGGTTTGAATCCTCCAGGTGGTGAAGAGCCTCGCCAAAAGCTGAGAGATAAAGAGCCGGAATTGTTGAACGTTCGACTTCCCCTTTTGGGGGGCCTGAAAGAAACCTCGTTTGGAGGCTTCACCCCCCAACTGCTGGTCCGACTTGACGTGCTTCATATTCTGTTTCCTTGTTGCACTACATGCATTGACTCGGGTCCGAGTCACTTGATTTGGAGATCCAGGTCGATACCTCTCATACTTAGTTTACCATGTATCATGGTTTCTGCAGGGAGCTTCATTCGAGGGTGAATATGGGTGAGTAAGTAGGACATAGGAGAAAGATATGTTTGTTCAAAATTGTGAAGCCACATGTGGAGATAACTCCCGATAGAACTTGAACAGCATCAGTAACCCGGGAAATCAAATGAAAGGCCGTGTGCTTGCTTTGCTTCTTCCGAAGGGTAGCGAGTTGATGGTTCCCATCAGAGGAGGAGACGACATCCCAATTCTAGGACAGGTATAGACGGTATAGGAAACTGTTTTGTCTCATTAGCTGTTGACTGGCATAGATTACGTGATATGGACAGTGTCTACCTGGTATTCATCTCATTGCCCTTCTGGACGTAAAGACTGGTAGTTGGACTTGAGGCAGTACTATATAGAGGACTCGTTTTGGCCGATCTCCTGAGAACAAGCCAGTTCTTGCACGAAGACTCTTGTTCATTAAGGATAAGGACTGAGGGTGAGACTAAGAGAGGCACAAGTGAATGTTCAATCTGTAAAACAGCAACAAAAACAACCGTTGCCAGGTAGCTGGCGAACCTTCAGTGATGCCACCCTGTCACAACGAATGCCACCTGTTGTGGACCTAACCTCATTTTCACCTAACTTTGGTGGCTCCGTCGTCTCCATCTCAAAAAGAAGCAACATGGTTGGGTGAGGAGTATGCAACACTTGGAGCTGATCGTGAACAGATCATCAACAATATGAACCAATATGAACCAATGATTATGAACTCTACAACTTCCATGCTAGGAATGGGAGCTTTCTTGGCGATCCAGTCTCCCCTCTCACCCAAGTGGACGGTCAGTTTCAGCGCTCCATCCGACCCGTCCGAGCTGAAACGTTCCGAGTGGCTTTGGACGCCACGCCATATCCCCAAATCCAGGTGGCCGAAGCTTTGGCCACGCAGCTGGAGAAGAAGTTGTCCCGCAGCTGGCGATGGCCGTCGATCGTGTGTTTTGGCGTTGGCCACGCGGTTGACCTTCCACCGTGATCAGGTGGAAAAAAACGGTTCACCGGTTAACCTATTGTGAGCCTCTATTTTGTCAGGGAAACTGCTGGAAGTCAGTACTGGCATGATGGAGTTGAACATCTTCCCCAGTGCCTTCACTGTTCTCCTTATGTGCGTTATACCTCGTAGAGGCGCCAGATCAACTACTTTTTGTGCTTGCAGAATGCTCGGGGAAAAAAAGAAACACCGCCCATTCGACTTTGCTCCCAGATGCTGCCCATTCTCCTCAAAATGCCATCGTCCATGCGGCATGCCTGCGGCACTGGGAAGATGCAGGGTCCTGCACTGAGGACTGGTTTGCGGCACTCCGCGCTTCAACAGAGGCGAGTGGCCGAGCGAATTTGCTGTGTTTTTTTTCGTTGAGCATTCATAGCTCGGTGTGATCGGTGTTCGGTTTGTTGAATTCAACACCAGTGTCTTCATGTATGTTTCACCCGTTTGCTTCGATTTCTATCTTAATCTTCTAGCTCAGCTCGTTGTGATCTTCTATAGATCACCAACAACCGGTGCTGAGCAGTTCGGGATCCATGGCATGAAGTTGTGGATGCTCAATTGAAGCTTTGGGAGGAGATTCTTCAATTCCAATCTGGAGGTGCCAAA